GCCAGGAATACTTTCCGTTTCTATGAAGCCTGCGTTAATTGATGGGAAAAATCTCTCCCCTCCGGCTCCCCCACACCCCCGCCCTCCCTCCGCGCTGCCCACCGGCCTCTCTTCCCTCCGGTCCTGGCTCACTCCTCCCTTGTTCTCCTCTGCCTTTCTGTATTACCCCTAATCTCTTCCTGACCATGTTGGCTTTTTCTTTGCTCGTGTGTCAGGGAGAGAGGTGAACGCAGAATGTTCTAGGCGAGGTGAGACTGGCACAAGGTTTGGATGCTGTGTCTGCAGCACGCACATCTGCACACGCTAGGTATGTGTGTGGTTAGGGGTTCCTCAACCTCTCTGAACCTCAAGTTTCTTTTTTTTCTTTTTGAAGCAGGGTCTCATTCTGTTCCCCTGGCTAGAGTGCAGTGATGTCATCAAGGCTCACTGCAGCCTCCAACGCCTGGCCTCCAGTGATCCTCCCGCCTCAGCCTCCCAAAGTGCTAGAATTATAGATGCGAGCCACCGTGCCCGGCCTGAATCTCAATTTTCCAATCTGTGAAATGGGAATAAGAAAAGCACCGTCTACTTCATGTTGAGGCTTGTTTGCTTTTGCTTTGTTGCCTGCGCCGGAGCGCACTCTGGGTGCTAGGGGCCAGAGGCAGCGGCGTGCGGGCAGGAAGCAGGGAGATGGGTCACTGAACGGTGTGGTGGCCGACTGGGGCACTGCAGTACGGGACACAAACAGGGCACGGTGGCCGAGGCCGCTGAAGGGCGAGGGCTGGGAAGGGGGGAGGCAGGGCGGGCGTCCCTGAGGAGGTGTCCCCGACCCGTGGCCCAAAGGCCCGAGAGGCCGAGGGGCCCGCGCAGGGCAGAGACCCACAGGGGAGGGGCGCGGGGTGTGCCAGGAGGAGCAGGACGGGGTGAGGCTGGGAGGCCCGGCTGAGGGGCAGGGTGGGAGCTGTGAGAGGGGCTTCACCACACGGGGAGTCTGGACGTCGCGCTGGAAGGTTTGACGCAGGCAAGTGGCATAAACGGGACCCCACTTGCGTTACAGGACCACTCAGGTGCCGGGTGGAGAACAGGTCAGCAAGAGGCCGCTGCAGAGGGGAGAAGTGACCCTGTGGCTGGCAGGGCGCCGGGAGCACAGACTCCTGGCCAGATGGCCTGGCCTGGCAGACCTGACTTCCCCAGCCCCCCCAGTCACATGACCTCGGGCAAGTTACCCGGCCACTCGGAGCCTCGGTCTCTTCTTCACCTAGAAAGCGGGCATGATGACAATCATATCCACCCCCTAGGGTTGTTATGAGGCTTAAAATAATCCACGTATAGAAGCAACTAGGACAATACCCTGCAGGTGTGTTCCGTGCTGTGGAGTCATTGGCTATTGGCCTGAGTCACTAGAACGATGCCAAGAGCGAACCCTGGGGGGGTGGCTATGATTGTCATCGCGCCCACTTTTTAGATGAAGAAGAGACTGAGGGTCTGAGTGGCCGGGTAACCCTCTCTTCTAATCCAGAACCCAACTTTTAAAGCTCGGTTTTCTTCCCAGGAGGTTTCCCATCTACCTCCCACTGAGACCAAAAAGCTCCCGGGGTTTTCCTTGCCGTCTTTAAGCTAAATCTATTAATACTAAAGCGAAATGTAAGAAAAATAAATGCAAGGTCTTTTCCTTGGGGCCCATGAAACCAATGTGTCCCAAGGAAAGAAAAGAAAGAAAACCAAACCAAGCCAACCTCCTCCCAGGTCCAAATGGGACAGATAGGGTGTTAAGTGGCAGCCCATGGGCAAACCCCAAAGGCACAGGTTTTGGTTTTCACGTTTGAGTGTCAGAGCTTGGGCTCCATGAAATCCTCCATTACGATGTCCAGGTTGGGCCTGTAGGACTTTTCTGGGAAGTTTCTGGGCTGTTCCAGCATCTTCTCCCCAGACAGGCCTCGCAGTCTGGTGATGGAAAGGAGGGAAGACACCGTCTTAGCTAAGGGCAGCGTGGAGCCCTTGGTTGGACCCTGGAACAGAAAAAAAGACATTTTGTTCAAGAGTCAAAAAAGACTTGGTTCCAAAGAGTTTAGTTAATAGTGCTGCACTGATGTTAATTCCTTAAGTTGCAATAAATATGCCATGGTTGTTCAGGATCTTAACACTAGGGGAGATCTTGGCGAAGGGTTTATGGGAATTCTTGGTACTAGCTTTGCAACTTTTCTGTAAATCTGAAGTTATTCCAAAATAAAAAAAGTTTACTAAGAAAACAACATTGGCTTAGGAAGAAGTTTGGCCATCAGAGTACCACCACCCTAATCCATTTCATATCTCTACGCCATATGTTCGCTTTCCCACTGACTTCATATTTTTAAGTGAATTCATTTTTTTCTACTTTTAAAAGTTCATTTTAAAATGAAACTCTATATCACTGCCATAAATGAGAAATCAGTTTCTCTTGCCACAAACTGGTGGTGACCACATAAATAAATGCAAGTAAAAACAACAAAATGATGCTATTAAATGTAAACTCAACGCATCTACCTGTGGAAGGTTCCAGGCCTGCCTCTGCTGTGTTTGTTGAAAAGGGAAGTAAGAGATCCTAGATCTCAGAAAGGTGTTAAAGACCTGCCGGCAGCCATGGTGACTTTCTCCTGGCTGCAATCCCAAGATTGGAGGAAGAAACAGAAAAAGGAAATTATTTATTACCGTGTGACTCAAGGTTATTTTAAACCGTTGTCTGTGGACGCCTTAAAGATGCATCCTGGTCTTTAGGAAATGCTTCCTGAAGCTGCATCATCCAATGGGGTAGCCATAGCCACGTGCGGCTATTTACATTTAAGTTCATTTAAATTGAATAACCTGGCAAATTCAGTTCTTCAATCTCACTAGCCACATTGCAAGTGCTCAGTAGCCAGGCATGGCCAGAGGCTGTCCTCACAGACAGACCCTCTCGGACGGTGCAGAACAATTCTGCTTTTGCAGAAAGTTCTATTGAACAACGCTGCTCCGAAGTGTATCCTTCTGATTTGGAGTTTTGGGGGGGGCTTATGACCCAAGCATGTCTCAAAACTCCTTCCTCTAAGTGCTGCCGAAAGGGGTCAGGTCAGCGGCCCCCGGAGACAGCAGGAAAGCAGATGGGCTGAGGCCTCAGTGAGGCAGATGGGCCGTCACCTCTGTCTTGTTAAGCTCACTAAGAAGCCCCCTCCTGCCTCTGGCCCCTGCTGCTGGGCCCCTGCGGTTGGCATCATTTCAAGGCTCCTTCCCCCCCACCACCACCACACTGCACCCCTCTTCTGCTCATCGATGGCTGTCTCAGAGACGGATCAACGGACATCTGGGGGAAGGGAAGGAGGCAGATGACTTGGAAATCACAGATTTTGCCCAAAGTGATCACTGAGTCTACTTGATCATCCAAATCGGAGATTGTCCTGCTAACTTAAGTGGCTCATTTCACATAATTGACCTTATCGGTCATTTTTCATTTTTTCACCCCTCCTTAAGAATAAACTATGGCCAGAGTTGGAAGCATGGCTGCTTACTGCTGCGTGACGTTGGGCAAGTCACTTAACCTCTCTGAGCCTCAGTTGCTCTGTCTGTAAAATAGGGATTCATGGTAATAAAGTCCTCATAGGAGTGAGACAATGTATGTAGAGTGCTTGGTCCATGGTTAATGGTTAAAAATAAATGGCAGTTCTTATTATTATTGAAAGGATTATGCAAGATGTTTGTTGTTGTTTATATTCTATGCTTTGTAGAGTATAAAGAGGTACAAAAACAATAAGAATGGTGATGGGAATACTGCTGCTAATAACTGATAAATTTCATATCGGAGGCATGGTCATTCTTGGGCACCCAATTTCCCAGACCCCGAAAATCTCTTATTCCATGTGACAGATATCATTAATGTTCCTCAACACCCAGGTCTTTATTTCCAGGTTCAGGGGAGTTCCAAGTCATCTTTCCCTTGAAATTAGGTGTAGTGATGTGACCGGTTTTAGCTAAATTAAACGTGAGCAAAAGTCATCGCAGTGCTTCCTGGCCAAACATTTAATTGATGGTGCTCAACTCTCCAGCCCTCTCTTCCTCTGCTGCATGGATTGTAAAAACGTATGTTGAGAAGGCAATGTCCTATAAAGGTGACTGCTCCTTCAGCTGAGAACTTGAGGGACTACTTCAATGAACGGAGGCGCCCCTGCTGTTTTTCACTGAACAAGAAATTAACCTTTGTTTTAAACCGTGAGATCCTGGGACTGTTTGTTACACAGCATGACCCAGCCTATACTGACTAATACAATCCAGTTACTCCTTTCCCAAAGATTGTATATTAGAAGAAGAATTTAGACTTGCAACTAAATTGATGCCTGCACCTCACACCACTGCTGGCTGATCAGCTCTGGAGCCACCAAGGCTAATTAATCTTCCTCTGCTCCTAGAACCTCAATTCATACCCAAAATGTGATTGACCGCATTGTTCAGACACAGGCCACAGTTGGGAAACTGAGACTCAGACCTCCCAGGCTGATATCAAAACTAACAGAAATAATTCCTGCCATTCACCAAACTTCCTCCTCCCTGCCTGCCCCAAATGCCTGCCAAATATTACATGATCTGGCTCAAGTCCAGAAACATACCAGTGGTGACACTTAAAAAAAAAAAAAAAACATATCAACACACACATGACACTGCAGAAAATTCACTCCCCTCTTTCCAAATAAAAGGGATGTGTTGCTCTTGCAAAGAGCCACATTGCTAATTATGCAAAGACTTTCTCAGTTAGTAACAGCAATAAGATCCTTGAAATACTGTTCACATTTCTTGATTTAAAGAAAACTAAGAAAATAATTACGCCATTCTAAATTATCTGCTAAATGAAATTGTTCTTCAGTAGACTGTTGAGTTTCTTTTTCTTATGTCAGCTGTTGTTCGGGGGATAAAATGATATTTTGTACTAATTGTGTAATTTATATGACATTTATTATTCCTTTATTTGAAAAAAAAAAAAAAGAGCAACAATAACAACAAAAAACTTATAGGAAAATGCCCTGGTCATTGGACTTCCCAGGATGCTCTTGGATCTATGGGGAAATTGAGTGTTGATTTCTGGATCCCTAGAACAGAGAATTTGAGAGGCTGGGGTGAGAATCTATCCTTTGAGAGGGACAGACAGAGCACTAGGAAGATTCCAGAAAGGTAAGCTTTGCCACCTGCCCTTGACATCATCGTGGGAGGAATTATCAGTTCTGTTCCTACCCAAGACCAGCCTTATTCTCTCCTCTTCTGAGCTCTGTGTATTGTTTTTATGAATAATACTTCTGTGGGTTTTCTTTTGAAAACAAATATATACAGAGGTTAATTTTTTAAAAAATCCACAATTCCTCTACTCAGCTCTTGCCATTGTTTGGTAAAGATCTGTTTAAAATAGTAAAGCATTCATTCAAGTAACATTAACTAAGCACCTACTACATGCCAAGTCGCGTACTGTCACAGGAATGCAGAGGCAATATGTGTAGAGGGTTAGAGCCAGGACTTTGGGGTTGGACTGCGTGACTTTAAACCGTCACTCCACCACTAAATAGTTCCATGACCTTAGACAAATTACTTAATATCTCTGAAACTTTCCTCATCCATAAGACTGGTAGGTTGACTGTTGTATCAGTTAGCTATTGCTGTGTAACAAACCGTCCCCTTCCCAAAAAATTCAATGGCTTAAAACAGTAACTATTTCTGATGGCCCACAAAGCTATGGTCAGTTGGGAAGGTCTGCAGTCAACCAACTGGTGGCTTGGCTGGGGGCTGACTCAGCTGGAATGACTGTTCTGTCCACGTGATCACTCATCCTCTAGAACAGCAGTCCCTAGCCATTTTGGCACCAGGAACAAGTGGTCCATGGCCCAGGGGGTGGGGACCACAGCTCTAGGAGGCCAGCTCAGGCTTGTTCTCATGGCAGAGACATGGCTATAAGAGGGAGCAGAAGTTCAGATGGTCCCTCGAGGTCTAAGCTCAGAACCAGCACATCCTCATTTCTGTTGCGTTCTATCGGTCAAAGCAAGTCCCCAGGCCACCTCAGCCTCCTGGGATGAGAACCCAACTTCTCACCTTGAGGGGAGGAGGCACAAAGTCACATCGCAAAGTACGTGGTTACAGGGAATGGGGCCACTGGGGCAGTCTCTCCACCACAGCTGTTCCGAGGATTAGACCATGAAAATGCTTAGTGACTGGGACCCCTGCTCAATAAATGTTTGCCATTAACATGCAAATCAAAATCTCCACCTTAAGGAGCTCACAGCCTGGTAGGAAAGAAAGGCAATTATGATTAATTAATTAGAAGGACATCAACAGAGATCCACGGTGATAATAGTACACTTAAGCAATTATTTAATCTTTTTTTAAATTTAATATATCATAGGCACATCCCTGTCATTAACTCTCCATGCACCTCACTTTACTGGCTGCATCTGATGGATGGGCCATGCTTTACTTAGCCAATACCCCCCTTACCATTGGAGATTAGGTTGTTTTCTGGTTTTTTGCTCATGTAAATAATGCTGCCATGACTAACCACACTGTGATTAATTGCAGGGGTTGGAAGCAACTTGATTTTTGTCTCAACCTTTGTGAAGACTCTGCCCTGGACTAGGGGTAGGCAGGACACCCCCTTTCTCTCCATCTACCCCCGTAGACACTCATCGTAGGGGGCTGGGAGGGGTGGGTCAGAGATGTAAGACAATACCTGGTATTGGCACCTGGACTCCAAATGGCGACTCCACTCCCATTACGGCCCCTGCAGCACCCCTTTTGTGTGGCCCCTGGGGTCTCAGAGACCACCCACACATTTGGTGATTTGCTAGGACTCGCAGAGGCCGTTGTACTCACAACTATAGTTCATTACAGGATACACAACAGGATCAGCAAGAGAGAAAGACACACCAGGCAGTATCTGGAGGACTCCACACTCAAGCTTCGATGCTACACACACACACACCCAGGAGGAGACACACCGTGTGTCCTTTCTCCAGCAACAAGATACAGCAACACGTGTGTGCTGTTTCTGCCCGGAGACATCCATCTGAGACTCGAAGCCCAGGTTTTTGTTGGAGGCTCATCATGTAGACAGCCACAGTTACCAAAATTCCAGATTCTCAGAAAGAAAGCTGGCATGAGTGTTGGGCAAAACAACCTTATCAGCATAGGGACCAACCCAACAGCCGAGTTCCCAAATGCCAGCCAACGACCAGTCCTGTAATCAGTTACCACAGCACGTTAACTCTTTCCTACCCAGTCCCCCGTGAGCCATGCCTCCTGCTAGCCGTGCACTTGTGCAGTCCCCTCCTATGTGGAATCTGAGCTGGCCCCACGACACACTCTGACCAACAAAATGTGCTGCAGGTGATGCTGTGTTACTTCCAAGGCTGGGTCTTAAGAGGTTGGCGGCTTCCTTCTCTTGTACTTGCAATGTTCCTCCTTGGAGCTGCTTTGCCTAAGGTCTGGCCACATTGCTGGAGGGACGGCATGGAAAGGTTATGTGAGGAATGAAGGGAGGTCCGTCTCCACTCCAGCGATGAGAGCAGTGCTCTGGGCATGCGCCCACAGACAGCTTCTGTAACCTGCTTGAGGTCACCCAGCCAGGAAGTGGTAGAACCTGGATTTGAACCTCGGCCGGCTGCCTCCAGTGTCTGCCCCTTAAGGCGCTGCATCCTATTGCCTCTGAAATTGTCAATTGCCAGTGAATTTTATCCCTGCATTTAAAAATGCAAGACCTTAGAATTTTATGTGAGGGAAATGGATTTTTATTGACTGGGGGATATTTAGTTTTCAGACCTGCTATTCATTGAAACTCCTCTTTGCTCCCTCCGTCCCCCCCAAACTAGCAAGGAGTGATTGTTTTTCTACAAGGTATTTGCAACGGGATTCACCTGTTGGTTGTTCTGACGAAATGAGCTCTGAAGGGTTCCTGTCATTCCTTTCAGATACTCCCACTTGGCTTAATTTTTGCTCCTTATAATTTAGTTTCAAGGTCACGAGTATATCTAGCTTTTTCTTTGTATGTCTTGGATGGGCCAATGGCCCACAGAAATTTTATTCTCAATATTCCTCGTGCTATGAGCCCCGGGCAGGTTGTGGGATATTCAGAATTTCTGCCCCGTGGGCCTAAAATCCCCGGAAATCTCAAATCCACACACGGCTTAGTCCCAAGGATTGAAGAGTTTTGATCCTCTGTCCCGCTCCGGGCGAAGAGGCTTTGATTGGCAGAGCCAGAGGTAGGCGAGTTGAAGGAAGTTCTTAAATCAGGCTCTTGGTGCCAGAGCGTGTGAATACATAATCTCCCGCGTGTGCCAGGAAACACAATACATCATCATCCATAACCGTAATATGGCGGCATATATCACCTGCTCATAATAAATAGCATATCATCTGCTCATAATATTTTATCATATAATATCATGACATCTGCTCACAACACCATATATTATGTGATCGACACTCGGCGTTTCCTCCTAGAAGGGGCATCATCAGATATATTTGTTTAACAAAATATATATGTGCTGCTAACTTTGGTTAGAAGGTTGAGTTTTTCACAGGTTCTGTGGGTTGATTTGAAGGAAGGTGGGAAGGTACGGACACAGCGTGGCCTGTAGCTGCTCACCCATGACACGTGGATGGGGCCAAAGGAATAGTAAAAGCCTTCGGCCGCGTGCACTAAACTGGCTGGAAATGCAGAATCCCAGGCCCCACCCCAGCACTTTGGTAAGATTTCCAGGGGATCCATGAGCACACTTCAGTGTAAGAAATGCTGTCCAGTGAGACAATCCAATTTAGCTGCCTCTAAGTAGAAGGCGGGGGAGGGGGTGTCCCCCCCATCCGTGTGCAAGCCCTACGATGGCACTCGTGTGCCTGACCCCTGGCTCATCCACGTGGGCGGGGCACAGCCTCACACACACATCCAGGAGACTCCCTGACCCTCCAGAACTGGTTCCCAGGAAGCACTGTGCACCCCTACTCAGTTGCCTGCTACTCGCCAGGTGCCTACAGGCCATGAGAATTTCAACCCGCCCAGTATTTTTTATCCTATCTTTAAAAATATAGATGTACAGGCTGGGCGCGGTGGCTCATGCCTGTAATCCTAGCACTCTGGGAGGCCGAGGCGGGCGGATTGCTCAAGGTCAGGAGTTCGAAACCAGCCTGAGCAAGAGCGAGACCCCGTCTCTACTATAAATAGAAAGAAATTAATTGGCCAACTAAGATATATATAGAAAAAATCAGCCAAGCATGGTGGCACATGCCTGTAGTCCCAGCTACTTGGTAGGCTGAGGCAGTAGGATTGCTTGAGCCCAGGAGTTTGAGGTTGCTGTGAGCTAGGCTGACGCCACGGCACTCACTCTAGCCTGGGCAACAAAGCGAGACTCTGTCTCAAAAAAAATAAATAAATAAAAATAAAAATTTAGATGTACAAACCCACAAATACTTCCCCGCCACTACCGCTGGAAAATTAGACACGTATATTTTCAGAGAAACACTTTAAAAATAAAATTAAAAATAGCTCTATTCCAATATTGCTCAACCTCAACACTTTTGACATGTGGGCTGGATAATTCTTTGTGAAGGGCTGTCCCGCACATTGCAGGGTGTTTAGCGGCCTTCCTGGCCTCGACCCAACTAGATGCCAGTAGCAGCTCCGCGTCCCAAACAAAAACGGCTCCAGATATTGTCACATGTCGCCTGGGAGTCAAAATCCCCCCTGGTTGAGAAGCACTGTTCTATCCTAAAAATCAAGGAGGGGTAACTCCTTCATACAGAGGACCCCTTTCCCAAGATGTTTTGAGCCGGGGACGAGGGGGAAGCCATCAACCGGGGCCTGTGTGTGCCCCAGTGTGAACTGTGTGTGTGCAAGGCGTGCACGTGCGTTATTCCAGTAATTCTTTTATCTTCCGCTCACACCCTGGGCATTATGAACATTCATCACAATAACTGACGCGGATGAAATTAGCACTTCCTGCTATGTCGGGCAGATAAACTTCGCTGAATATTGATTTCACACAAAGAAAATGACATGTGCTTAGGCCTAACCCTTTATCTGGCCGGACCAGGGAAATGCGGCAGGAGGGGGACGGGGCTGGCCGTCGCCGGTGGAGAAGCGGCCATAAGAATTACTTTTATCTCTTCCTCCACAAGAAGACAAGGGACGATAAGGAGGCGGAGGGGGAGAAAGCCAGCCCCGGGCGTTGGGGATATCCGCAGAAGGCACGGGACAGGGCAGTTCTCCGGGGACCAAGGGGACTGGAGTGATAAATTCAGAAGAGGAAGGAAGAGCGGATTCGAATGAGCAGGACGGTGCTGAGGGACAAGGAGCCCCGGGATTGGCCTGTCTGGGCTCAAATCCCAGCCCTGTCCCTAAAAATAGGGTGGCCACCCATCCTGGTTTGCCAGGGATGGAAGGACTTCCTAGGATGGTGGAACTTCAGTGCTAAAACCAGACGGCCCCAGGCAAGCCAAGCCCAGGTCACCCTGCATTTTAGCTGCATGACTTTGGACAACTAGTCCTCAGTTTCCTCATCTGGAGAACTGAGAAAGATGAGACCTACTTCTGGCCTTAGAGAGGGAGGTGAAAACCCTCGGAGGTGTGCAACGTGGAGCCCTCAACCATAACCAGGAAAATTCTGGATCAAAGCCACCTCCTCCCAGCAGCCCTCCCTGACTATGGTAGCCCACAGAGACCTCTGCATGCCATCAAGGCCCATGGCTCCAACTGTTTGGCTCTTCCTTCTAGAACCCAGTGATATATAAACTCCTAAACAAGGTTAAGACATGCTAGCTTCCACCTTTCACTCTTGCTTTGAAATCAGGAGCTTCCTAACCCTGCCACCAGCTGGGGCTGGGCAAGTCTCTGAGATGCCAGGGAAGTGATTTATTTCCCTGAGATTCCCAAGTTCACTTTACCGAGGGCCTACTGTGTGCCAGGCGCTGTGCCAGAAGCCAGCAGGGTGACAGCTGACAGGCAATAGCCACCTTTTCCTCTATTCCTCCTCCTCCTCCTCTTCACTGGAGAATCCCTGAGCAGCTGCAGGACCCTGGGTCCCCTTAGCTACATGCCTGGCCACATCTTAACCCCATAAAGGAAGCAGGCTGGCTTTCAGATCAGACTCCAGGATGGGGCCACTGCCACTCCTGCGTCACTACCTAAGATTCTCATGGTACGTGGGACCTTGGGCAAAGCCCTTCAGGTTGTCACCTGGGAACCCAGATTGACATCCTCGTCCTACCTGCTTTATTCATGGAGAGACAGAGTACAGCGAGTGACCAGTAGGGGACAGAAAAGTACAGGGAGCAGGCAGGGTAGTGTAGTGGTTAGCATGGCTTGAGAACCAGCTAGCCATGAGTTGAGTCTCAGCAATATCTTTCACTGTGTGACCAGGAAGAAGGAAGGTACAAAAGCTATCTTTGCATTATTTTCCTTCTCAATAATCTTTCAAGGTAGGCCCCTATTATAATTCCTGCTTTTCAACGAGAAGGAAAATAATGCAAATGAGCTAATGATATCTGTAAGGTGCTTACAGCAGTGCCTGGCGTATAGCAAGTGTTTAACCACCTTTACCAACATCAGAGCTGTTGAGTTGCATGACATCAGACACAATGTGAAAGGCACCTTCTGGGCTTGTGCAATGTGCATCCGCCAACCATAGCAGGGGTGACAATGGGACGAGGTCACCTCCCCTCGGGAGCCCCTGCTGACTACCCCGGTGTACAGAGACCTCTGGGTGCTATGGAAGCCTGCAGCTCCAACTGCCCGGCTCACTCCAGCAGCGCGAGGGAGCATCTGCATGCAGCCAGGACAGTGTCTAGGTCGTCTCCACCCCCACCAACGCCTGCTCGGGGCAGAGGGGACCGACTGCGTGGGGAAGGCTTCGCCTGCAGGCTAGAAGCCCACCCGCTGGGACCACAGGATCCTTCTCCACTTTCTTCTCTCCTCTCCAATTAAGCTCGATCGGGATGCAGTAATAATAGCAATAATGATGCTATCATTTAATGAGCACTTCCTGCTGCCATAATACTTTATGTCCTCATTGAATCCTGCAAACGCCGCCACGACATGGGCAGTGTTATTCTCCCTTTTCAGATGAAGAGAGTGAGGCCCTGGCAGCAGAGTGACCTGAGCAAGGTAACACAACCACAAAGCGGCAGGGCCGGGACTCGCACCGGGTGTGTCTGGCTCCAGGGCCCTGATGACCACCCTGTCCTGTTTCCTTTAGAGGAGGTAGCCGCAACGCTGGAGAGTCCAGCCGGCCTGGGTCCAGGTCCTCCTCCTGCCACATGCTGGGTGACCTGGCCAGAACCAAGTCATTGCATTTCTCTGAGCAACCCTTCCCTTCCCTGCAAAACAGGAGGCATCGCCCCGCTTCCCTGGGTGTGTGTATGGCAGGGGGATTGTGATCAGAGCAGCAGTCCCCAGCACAGCGCTGGGGACACAAGGGCACAGTGACTGCACCGAGATGCCCCGGTGGGTCCCTGCAGAGGTGGGGCGTGCAATGGCCCGAGCACTGAACTGGGGGCTCAGATCCGGTATCCCCTCTGGGTTCGACGATTTCCAGCGCCCCACTGGCCCGGCTAAGCCCTGGCCTTGGCAGTCTGGGGACCGAGTGTCCCTGCTTCAGCCCCCACCGGGCTCCGCCCTGCGCCTGCCGGGAGAAGCGGTGGTCTGAGATGCTGGGTCCACCACCCGCCGCTGCCGGCGGCGCCGCCCCCTGGCCGTCGCCACGCGGTGCCCGAGCCTCCAGTCCCACCGGGGGGCCGCGGGGCTGCGGCTAATTGCAAATCATTTCTCAGGGCTCCCCGCTGTTCGGCTAAATTCACTGGAACTAATGTGTCCCGAAACAAATTTCACAGAAGAGCCAGGGCAATTCTATGATATTTAGTTCTCCTCCCCACATCCCCCCCACCCCGGGGCTCCGGGCCAGGGCAGAGAGGGCTGGGTGGAGCGGGGTGGGGAAGCAGGGATGCAGGACCCCCCCCCCAGAATGTTCTTCCTTCTCACCCCTGCACCCCGACTTCATCCATCCCTCCCCACTGCGCCTTCTGCTCCTAAATCTCCTCCCTTCTCTCCCAGCCCCGGTGGCGCCCACCTCCCTCCCAACATCTCCAACCCTGAATCCTGAACCGGGCAGACTGACTCCATGTCTCTGGCAACCACTGGCTCTGAAAGCAGACAGACCCGGGTTCAAATCCCAGCGTCTGCACTCATCAGCTAGCTGTGTGTCCTGAGAAACCGCACAACCTCTCTGAGCCCCTCTTTCCTGATCCCTGAAATGAGGAGAGCACCGCCTGGCTGGCATCGGCTGCCGGGAAGAGTAGATAAAAGGACACAGCGGAAACGTTTTATGTGGGGCTAGCACACAGTAGGCTCTCAATAAACATGGATCTCCCTCCAGCAGCCACTTCATCGTGAGCATCTCAAGGGGCCCAGGTGGACCATGTTTTGGGTCTCAGAGACAATTCCGAGCAAGAGGAATCAGAAAGCAGAGATGGGCAGACGCCGGGCGCGGTGGCTCACTCCTGTAATCCTAGCACTCTGGGAGGCCGAGGCAGGAGGATTGCTCAAGGTCAGGAGTTCGAAACCAGCCTGAGCAAGAGCGAGACCTCATCTCTACTATAAATAGAAAGAAATTAATTGGCCAACTAATATATAAGTCCCAGCTACTCGGGAGGCTGAGGCAGGAGGATCGCTTGAGCCCAGGAGTTTGAGGTTGCTGTGAGGTAGGCTGACGCCACGGCACTCACTCTAGCCTGGGCAACAAAGCGAGACTCTGTCTCAAAAAAAAAAAAAAAGAAAGAAAGCAGAGACCCACGACCCCCCACCCCACCCCCAAGCAATCCCTCCACCTGCCGCCTACCGCTCAGCCTCACTCCAGCCTCACCCTTCCAGATCTTTCCCATCGGAACAATCCTCCCCTCCCTCCACGTCCCCTCGGCATTTCTTCCCATGCACCTGTCCGAGCGTCTTCATTTCCTTTTGCAGCTCTGCTTTCTTTAGAGACCCAAACCACGTGGCCGAGACAGCTTGTGAGAACTGCTGGGGCCAGTCGCCGGTGACCGTGTCCCCATCACGGCATCCACAGCAAGCAAGTCCCGATCCTGGCGCTGTTCGCACCGGAGGGTGACGTGCCACCACTCTCTTTGCCTTCTGCGCCAGCCAGCACGCCAGCCTGCAAGCACATGGGGCCAGGAGACCGTCCTACATGACTAGAGTCGCACCACGCTTTATTTTTCAAAAGTCAGGGAGCCAATCACTCACTCACTCACAAGTAGCTTCAAACACACCTGAAACAAGTCTGTTGGAACATCGAGGGCCAGTGATTACTTTGCCAAATCCTTACGGAGCCCCCGCCGGGCACTAGCCTCTGGATAAGGTGCTGAGAAGCCAACAGACAAGACAGCCCCAGACCCTGGCCTTGACTGACACTCCGGTGGGAGGGCAGACATCAGACAAGCAGAGACACAAGACACTATCAGACGGTGCCAAGAACAATTAAGATAATAAAGATAAAACAAAGATGATCCAGTGAGTACTGGATGTCTATTAGACAGGGTGATCCTGAGATGGTGACATTTCAACTAGAATCTTAATGGCAAGAAAGAACCAGAGTGGATCTTGGGCAAAGCGTTCAGGGAAGGACCAGCAAGTGCAAAGGCCCTGGGGCAGGAATGCTCCAGAGTGGCTGGAGGGGAGCGGGGTGGGCGGGGGAGCAAATGGGATGAGCTAGCTCAGGTCACGTAGAGCCTCAAAGACGGGGAGGTGGGGTTCTAAGGGCAAGGGGAAGCCATTGGAGGGCTTTAAGTAGGGGAAACTGATTTAGGTTTTTGGAATATCCCTGCAGCTGCGATATGGACAAGGGGCATGGGGGAGAGAGGAAGCAGAGAGGGCAGGGGAGAGAGAAGCTGTTGTTCAGGGGAGCACCCATGGGGGCTTGGCCTAGGGTAAGGACAGAGCACTGCGGAGATGTGATCCAGTCCAATTATCAGGTGGGGAAACTGAGGCTCACAGAGAGGCAGCCGCCTGCCCCGGGCTGCCCAGCCAGTCCGTGATGAAGGGTGTTACTGTCTCGGCCCGGTCTCTGTTTCATTTCGCCACCATTAGCAGCGCCGTGGGGGAGCCGGGGCAGAGAGCTCCAGCCACTCACCACTTACAGAATCCCCGTAGCGCATCCTTTTGTGACGAGAATAATCACCCCTAATTCATCTGCTTCATCAGTTCAGGATCACTTTTCTTCTGAGCGCTGCGAACATGTCTGCATTCCTGTCCAGAAATAAGACGCTATTTCGAAAGCATAACTTGAGGTTGCTTACCAGGGCCACCCTTTCATGTCAGGGAGCACCTCTGCGGGCAGGGGCCGCGTGAGCCAGCTCTGTGCCCCACCGGCACACGCGGCAGGCGCAATGACAGGTGGCAATGCTTCCACCTCGACTATGCGCCCAGCAACGTGCCAGGCACCTTCGTCGATTTCTCCCTTTAACTCTCATAATTCAGAATGAAGTGGGCTTTACTAATGTCCCCATTTTACAGGAAGGGAAAGGCTCAGAGAGGTGAAGCCACTTGCCCAGTGTCACACAGCCTACTAAAGCAAGCCCTCAAACCAAGTGACAACTAAACCTACGTTCTGAAACTCCAGGCGTATTGTTTGAGGAAGGACTAAGGGAAAGAAGAGAGGGAGGGAGCTGAGGGAGGAAAGAATTTTTACAGATAAAACTCAGTCCCTTGAGCCAGGTGCTGAGATTTGGTCCCAGCTACTTGGAAGGCTGAGGTGGGAGGATCACTTGAGCCCAGGAGTTCGAGTCCAGCCTGGGTGACACAGCGAGACCCCATTCTTAAAAAAAAAAAAAAAAGGACAAAAAAGAAAAAAAGCTTTAAAACTCAGTTCCTTTGCTGTTCAGCACCTCTTTAGACCTTAAATAATTCTCCTGCTCAAAGAGATTCAGCCATGGCTACCTCAGAACTGGCCTCTGCCATTACAGGGTTTCTGGCACCCAAAAATCTGTCTTCTGCCTTGAACTGGTTGTCACTGTGTCCCCAACCTCTCCTCCAGCCAGTTTCCTTATTTTCTCTTCCCTGCTGGGTTGGGGGGTGGGGGGTGCTCCCTTATCGGCGGGGAATATACACACTGTGAGTACCTTGTCCCCTGCGACCCCCTCTGCCCTTGGCTAGGTGAATGCAGTGTCAGCCCAGATAATCCCAAAGCCATAAAGACGATATAAAAAAGTGGGGAGCTGGTGCCGGGCGGGGTGGCAGTGAAAGAGGAGATTACAAAAAAGAGGATGAGCCACGTGGCCCGCGTTCCTTATCTGACCACGGCAGGCCTGGCCAGGGGCTCTCTCCCTGGGGTGGGGGGAGGCTGTGCCCGCCCCTCGCCCCCCACCCCCTCCTGCAGGAGGCTCCAGCAAGGACCCATCCCAGCTGGGTGCACCCGGGGTGGGGGGACCAGAGCCAAGAGAAGGGGGAGGACAGCCGGGATGGGGGGACCTACAGCTGAGCAGAGGGTGGTGAGTTGGGGTCCAGCAGAACTGTCCCCAAGACTGGGGGTTGGAGGGGCTGGGGACCTGCCTGCTCAGGAGACCCAGGACACTAGCCCAGCCAGGAAGGGAGAATGAATATCCCAGGCTGCTGGCAGTTGCATCTGGACGACTTGGTTATTTTTATGAATACTGACTCAGGGAGATGGGTGGGAGGAAGTTGGGGGGCACGTGGGTGCACAATATTAGGAAGGAACAAGTAGATGAGGAACAGGACAGGGATGGACGGTGTGAGCAGGCGAGAACCAGCCCCAAGTACTTTCTGGGAGAGCCTGCCTCCTCCAAGGTAAGCAGAGACATCATCCCCATTTTACAGACCGGTAAACTGACTCTTTAGGATTCATCTAGCAACTTCCCTTTATGACACTGACATTCACAGGAACAGAGGGCAGAGAACAGAGAAGCCCTCTGTCAGGGACAGAGACAGAGAGCAAAGAGAAACAGGGAGAGACAGAGAATCAGAAAGGCAGAGAGACAATAAGAAACAGAGATAGGTACAGCCAGAGACAGAGAGAAACAGAGACAGAGAGACAAATAATCAGAGGCAGGGAGAGATGCAGGGAGGGATGACCCAGAGGCCAAGAGAAAGAGACACAGAGACAGAGATAGCAGGAGGGAGACCGAGAGATACCCAATAAAGGAGGAAGAGGCAAGGAGGCTGAGCCACAGAGGTAGAGGAGGAGGACACATAAAGGGGGCTAATCAGAGGCCAGAGGCAGAAGGGAGGACAGGAAGCCCGTCCACGCAGAGCCCCGTCTCAACGCCAAGCCCCCCACCCACTACGGGCCAGCCAGCACCCCCACCCCCACCCCCCTCCCCCTTGCTGTCCTTGGTGGGGACCCCCCCATCCCGGTACAGCCAACCTCCACCCTGGACACGCCCCCTTCTTCCCTGCGCCCCCCACTCCGGGCCTGCGCCCCCTCTTCCCTGCGACCCCTCCTCCCTGCGACCCTTCCTCCCTGGGACCCCTCCTCCCTGCGACCCTTCCTCCCTTCGACCCTTCCTCCCTGCGACCCCTCCTCCCTGCGACCCCCCTGCGACTCCCCTCCCTGCGACCCCCACTCCGGGCCTGCGCCCCCTCTTCCCTGCGACCCCTCCTCCCTGCGACCCCTCCTCCCTGCGACCCCCCCTCCCTCCCTGGACCCCCTCTGTTGGCCTGCGCCCCGTCCAGCGCGCCCTCCTCCTGCGCCCCTCCTCCCTGCGCCCCCCACTCCGGCCTGCGTCTCCCTGCCCCCGCTCCGGCCTGGCCCCCTCCTCCTGCACGGCCCCCCACCCAGCGCCCCCCTCCAGCGGCCCCCCCCAGCGCCTCCCCCAGCCCCTCCTCCCTGCGCCCCTCCTCCCTGGCGCCCCCTCCCTGCGCCCCCTCTCCCTGCGCGCCCCACCCCCGGCCTCCTCCTGCGCCTCCTCCTGCCCCCTCCCTGCGCCCCTCCTCCCTGCGTCGCCCCTTCCTCCCTGCGCCCCCTCCCGGCGACCCCTCCCGCGCGCCCCCTCCTCCCGCGCGCCCCTCCCCGCGCGCCCCTCCACCCCGCCCGCGTCCGCCCCGCCCCCGCCCGCTCCCCCCGCACCTCCGAGCGCGGCGGGGCTTTCTGGCGCCTTTGTGGCCGGCCCCGAAGTGCGCGGCGACAATGGCGGGGTGACGGGGTTAATTCGCGCGCGGAGGTGGGGCGCGCGGGCGCCCGGCGAACAATGCCCGCGGCGCGCCTTTGAGCGCGGCCATTGTGCGCGTGTGAAACGCGAAATCTGTTCCCGCGCCCAGATGCGGCGCCGCGGGGGCCGGGGCGGGGCGGCTGCGGGCGTCGGGCTTAACCCTCCCGGCCTCCCCGCGGCCTTGAACCCGAGCTGCGGACCCGCGGGAGAGCCGGAGGAGCTGCAGGCTCTCCTCCCGCCTGCCCTGCCCGACGCGCTGTGCGACCTGGGGCTAGTCCCTGGCCTCTCTGAGCCTCCCCTCCGCGCCTGAAAACTGCGGGGCGGACTCCGGGCTCGCCGGTCCCAGGAGACCTAGAAGGGGTCGCAAGGTCGCACGATGCCAGCCCCACGGGTTCTGGCTCAGGCCCGCAGCCTGTCCTTTCACGCCGGTCAGCTCCGCCAGTAATAGCAGTGCGACCTCAGAGGGGTCACCCGCCTCTGGGGTCCCTCCCTGTGCGGTGGGGAGCATCAGACTATGACCTCCTCGCACGCCACGGCGAGCACAGGTGAGGGACAGACTCCTGGTGGGGCCTGTGTCTACCTGTGTACATCACGAGTAATAATAACACTTACCCAGGCCTCACTAATGTGCCAGGGACGATTCCCATCTTCCACTATATATTTTATGATATGTAAACATTTCCTGAATGTTTATGATATATCAAACTTCTGTTGAACTCCAGTATTTACTAGCTTTACCACTTACTCTCCTAGTGCCTCTCTTTGCACATCTGTAAAATGGGGACAGGGGTTCCTGGCCCACAGGGTATCATGAATTCCCTTCCTGCCCTTCCACGGAGCCTCCGTGCTGTGGCAGGCGTGGGCCCCTTTTCTCTCCTTCCATCCCCCCTTGTCCCGGGGAGTCCCTGGCAGGGTGGTTTCTGTGAAGGCCCCTGTGATGTTAATACATTCCATTTCCTTGGAGAAAGAATTTCCCTGGGTGACAAGGAGTCCTCTCCCCTCTCTCAGCTCCTGCAGACCAAACCCCTGAGGACTGAGGAGTGGGGTATGTAGGTTCTGGGGGAAGAGGGGGAGATTGAGGAAAGGCTGGGAGGACCCCTGTGGGGGCTCCCATGCTTGCTTTAGAGAGCACACATGCATTGCCTCACATCTGCCCATGGTGTGAAAGACTAAGGAGATTCTTCCAGAATCTTCTAGAATCACGGACAAGGAAATTGAAGCTCAGGGAAGCTAATTTGAAGATGCTTAACCTCTTCCTGGGTCATGCACTTCTTTCAGATTCCATGGAAGCTCCAGATCCTGTCCCCCAGAGAAAGGCTCGTTTGTGTCCCACAGAACATTTTACTTGCAGTCCTGGGGGTCTCCCACAGTCACCCCAGCACCCCCAAAGCCCAGGGTAGAGCCTTGTGGGTGGCAGAAAAAATCCAAAGCTGGGATGCAGGCTTGGCTTCACCGTGGGCTCTCTGTGTGGACCAAATCCGTGGTTCTCCTTTACAGCAAGCTTGTACATCGGGCTCTTAAAACTCCCATGGCATTTGTGCATCGGGGTATTAAAAGCCATAAATAAACCCGGCCCCCGCCCCAGAGTCTGCGGTCAGGTCGCTGTGAACTCTGTGTGGGTCACACATTGGTGTGTTTAACGTGGGAGCAGGCGTGACGGTGATGCGGGTGGCCTGTGGGGCGTGTTTCGGGGAACCCTGGCTCAGGATGCCCCCACCTGGATGCTGGCTTATGGTCCATCATCCTCACTTCCCGCCTCTGTTTCTCCCCCTGTCTTGACACGCCCACCTTCAATCCCTCGTCTAGTTTAAGTCCTCTGAAAACCCCCTTCCCAAAAGGTTTTGTTGTTGTTGTTGTTGTTGTTGTTTGGTTTGGTTTTTTTGCCAAGAAGAAAGGCAAAGCCAAGTCTCTGGGGTCCCTTTTCCACGCAGAGGGTGGGCAGAGCCCACGAGCAAGGGCGCAGGGAGACCGGCAGGTGCCTGTAGGGCCCCGCGTGCCGGGCGGGCACAGATGGAGTGGCTCTGGGCTGGGGGGCGAGGGGCAGATGCAGCCACCCCTGGAGCCTCAGCTGCTTTGTTATCTCTGCATTGTCCCCTGTCCCCCTAGCCCACACCCCCCCCCCCAGCCGCCCTTCTGTCATCTGCGCTTGGTCCCCTCGGCCAGCAGCCCTGCCCAGGACTGCGGAGGGAGCTGCAGAGAGGGTCCCGGCAGGCCTGCCCGCTCTGGGGGCTGAGCGGAGGGGTGGGGGGCTGCGGGCTGGGTGGAGAGGCCGGGGTGGGGGGTGTCAGAGTCTATAAATCACGCCCCACTGTGCTCCTGTTTAACACACACTTCTCCAACGAGTTGTCAGCGAAACCGTTAATTAATTAGCTAATCCCGCAATGAAGTGGATTCTAAATGGTTCTCCCCCTCCCAGCCTCCCATTTAGGTAATTGCTGCCCAGGGATCTGCTGTGAAAGTCATTTTTTCCAGCGGGGATGGCCCTGGAACACTGAGGGAGATAGCTTCAAAGAAGGGGTCAGCGTGCCGTCCCCGGGGCTCCCGTGCGGGGAGACCCTGCTCTCAGCCCGGGAAATAGCTGGAAAAGGAGTGTGGTTGTTGGGACGCGGGGTGGGGAGGGGGTACTGAGCCTTCGTGTTTGCTGGTTTGTCGTTGACCATCATGGAGCTTTGCAACTCTCTGGAAGCCTTCCTGCATAGGGTGTTTTTTATTGGCATCTGCCCCTTTCCCAGAAGGGACACTGAGGCCATTAAAAAGGGGCATGGCCAGCTTGAAATCACCCATGGCAAGTAGAGAAGATTCGATGAATGAATAAATGAATGAATAGAACCCAAATCTTGTGACTTATGACTCAAGATCCAATCACCTGACTGAGCCTCTATTGATACTGACTGGGTATCACGAGGAAAACACAGGCACATCCCAGAGTGGAAGCTGGTGGCTTTTACCTTCCCAGGAGCCCTTCCCCTGTGGTGCCTGGCCCTTGCCTGCTCCCACTTCACACGGCTTCCGTGGGGCTCGCCCTCCCCAGAAGCTGCAAAGCAGGGACACTACCCAGCCCAGGCCGATCAGTGTATTTTCCACCACAAGGGCTGTCCCCAGGCACAATGGATTATCCAGGAATGGACATGTGACCCGAGACAAGGCAATGAGACTCAAGTCTAGGCTTTTTGCCAAAACTATCAGGAAAGGAGTGTTCTCTATTATCGAGATTGCTAAACTAATAAATGTCAGCTTACAGTTTCTGGGAGCCATTTCTTAGCACCAGGAGTGGAGCCACATAGAGTACTCACAATATCCTGCAATGCTGAGCCCCTGGATCCAGCTGTACCTGAAGCCTGCATACACCTAGATATTTTTGTCAATTACTTATGCTTTAATTGCTATGGTAAATGCTGCTGGCCACCTATCAGCATCCGTTTTCCTTTTCTTCCTTATGAACAGGATTCCTGACTTTGTTTGAGACAGTAATGCAGCCAGCTGAAATACTTGTCTGGCCTTTCTTGTAGCTCTAAGTGACCATGTGACCCAGTTCTGGGTAGTGAGTCCTTGGGGGAAATGTCATTCCCAAATAAAAAGGCAAGATCTTATGAGAAAGCTCTTTGCCCTTTGCCCTTCTACCTTTTTCCTATCTGGATTACAAATGCAATGCTTATATTTGGACTTCTTATTACCTATGAAAAGTAAACCCCTTGCTGATTCAAGCTATGGTGCTTGCATTTCTGCTACGTGCAAACACGATCCTAATTGACAGAGTGGGGTTCCTGTGTTTGCTACTGAAAACCCCCTGCCTAATCCGACCTCTCCAAGAGATGTAAGGAAGGTAAGAAGAAGAGCTTGGTAGGATTGGGAGAAATGGCTTTGACTTCTCTATTTGCTCCAAGATGATCACCCATCTTGTTCTCTCATCTCTATTACCTAGTGAAGACAGTAATCTGGAAGGACCATAAATTGTAAGTAGATGGGGAAGAAAATTGGCCTTTAGCAAGGACTGGCTCCAGGCAATATTTCAAAATAGGAACAGTGGAAAAGGTGTAGAAGAAACATGTCATAGCTCCGTCTATACTAGGGGCAAGAGCCTGCCAACTAAGCAACCTCCAGCACAACTTACCAGTCCGGTGTCCTGTTCTCTCAATGACCCGCCATCTATAAGACGTTGGCCTCTTCATTAAACTGGCCAGTGCCTGCATGCTAGTCAGAGCTCACGGGTCCAGGGGTGCCGGGTCTCAGTGCATGTAAGGAGACTCTGAGGTTCCGGCAGAAGGACAGTGGAGAAGTGGGCCTGTGAAGGAGCCAGGTGGGGCTGCCCATCTTCAGGTACTATTCCAGAGCCAGGTGTGGAGCCAGAACTGGACTAGTCAGTCCCGAGGAAATCTGGGGCAGAGCTGGTTGCACTGGGACTCAGTGCTAGGAAGGTAGATGAGTTGGCTTTTGTCGCCTCAAGAGATCCTGCAAGAGACCTAACCTCAAATCTTAGCCTCTTGGAGGAAGACAATTTTAGAATACTAGCTCAAGGGACATTTAGAACCGTGTTATTTTAGAAGACTCAACAGTAACATCTTAGAGTTATAGAATTCTATACTATTAGACTAAGAGATGCTAAAATTCTAGACTTATAGAGGCCTTAGAACCACAGAATTTTAGAACCGGAGAAATCTTTAAAAATTGAACCCCTCAAGTATAATAGCCCTCAAGTTATAGAATCTAAGAGTCAAAATGTTAGAAAATGTAATGAGTAAAACCTTGGAATTAAAAAATTCTGGAATATTAAGCTGATTAATTTTGTAAATACCAGATATAGGGTGCCTCATGTCCTTGAAGTTTTAGAATTGTATTAAGAGCACTACAACTAGGCTGGCACTGAACAGATGTTCAATAGATATAAGCAAATGTAAAAAAAAAAAAAATTAAGTGGAATCCTTAAAAGAAAAAATACAGTGTATAACTTCCAAAACAGTGAAGGGAAATCAATGATCTCAATCAAGCCAACAGAAAACAGAGAAGCA